AGAATTGTCTTATGTATGATGACACGTATTCTACATGTGTCATATGCTTGAATGTTATGTTATGTTATGTTACGCTATGCTATGTGATATTATGTTATGATATGATATGTCATGTTATGATAAGTCATGTTATGCCATGTGATAGTAGGCTACGATAAACTATGCTAGGTAACGATATGCTATACTGATATGTCATGCTTATATGTTATATTATGTACTGATATGTCATGTTATGCCATGTTATACCATGACAAGCTATGTTATGCCGTGATAAGCCACATTGTATTCTGATTATGTCATGATGTTTACGTGTGATATGGAATTTGAACGTTATGATCGCATAAACTTCCATAGAAAATACCATGAAGCTAAGTTATGCCATAAAAAATGCACAAGAATTTGTAAGCATAATTCACACACTTACTATGCTAGAAATGCTGGAGGTTTGTTTTGCATCACATATTATGTCATGACTATAAACTATGGGAACTCTTAGTGAGTGATGGTCCGACAACCACGCCTAGGGGGTTTGTTAGCCCACTTGGTGGACCCATGCTTGCACACGTGGGTCACGATGAACTATGATAAAGCCTAGGGGGTTATGAATCACGAGCCTCCACAATGGTATGATATCGTCCACTTTAAGCATAAATTTTACGGCTTTACTTTGGGCTCCCCAAAATGTCTCATACCAACAAAAATGTATTCCTTACTTATGAACCTATGGTAATTCCCTAAATTAGCCAACGTGGAATTCACTCCCAACAATCCTAACAATATGTTAAGATGAAAGTCGCTAATTTAGGGAATGATCATGGATATATAATACTCAAAGTAGACAAAATTATACAAATGTGGAGATGGGTGAATAGGTTTGATTTAATATCATACCATTGAGGACTATGGATGCAAATTTGTACACTGTTTTTTAGATTATAAATGGCAAGAATGGATAAAGTTCCTTGTCTCCTCCCCGGTCTATGAACATCTCTAGTAGTATCGACCTCTCTAGTAATATCTGCCATAGTATTAGAAATCTCCTAGAATTTTAGGCAAAATAATAATAGGACAAGATCCATCATCTCCATGGCACCAAAATTCACAAACCAATTAAATAAAAACTATCATCTCAGAAGGAAGGCACGTAGTATTAGAACCGCCGCATGCTTTAATGTAACATAGAACTGATATGAAAGTTTACAGAATCATTCAATCTCTCAACTTCAAATTTTGCGGGTACAACATATGGTAAAACAAGGCAAAATGATTTCAACACTCCATATTAAAACACTGACCTCGTACTCATTAATTTGTAAGCTCCATTATAGCAGATACGATATCACCATCAGCTGCTTTGAGTGCTTTCACGGCCTTTGGTCTCGACACACCAGCTTGAGTCATCACCAGTTCAATGTCCTTGGGTTCGACCCCATCCTCATCGACTACTTCGTCGTCTTGAACCACGGTTGATGGCTCAGGCTTTGATGTCAAGTTACTCAAATTAGGTGCCTTGAACTGCTCTGCAGCTTGGGTTTGTAGTTGGGAGCTCAAATCTTCAATCTTGGCTTCCCCAAAGATAATGTAGGTATCTGAAGTAGGACTCTTGAAAACATCTGGTTTTGAAATGACAAAAAGAATCTGCAGAGAAAATTGTCACAGGTTTCAGATGTATCTTTCGAGAGCAGATGATCGAGATGATCGAGCTGACAATATTTTAGAAATTCTAATTTCGGGTATTAAAAAAAAACGAACATTCTTGCTCTTCTTGATAGTGACGCGGCTCACGCCAGGAATTGGCTTCATTCCTAGTTTCAACATTGCTTTGCGACTCTTTTTTTCACTTCTGCTTTGCCTAGACCTGCCACTGGCCTCTCCATGCCCTGCCACCGGAAACTCCGAACTCATATAACATGTTCCAAACAAATATAGTATATGCAGCACATACACAATACAACAAATGGAAAATGCAACACAATCTAACTGAATGGAGAATGTATCAGGAATTAGGTTAAGGCCATCCTGAAATCATTTATTGAAGTTAAACGATTACATATATCATATATGAGAATGGAGAATAAACAAGCACGCATCATTGAGAATCAGGCCACAAGTTCACAAATTCAACATAGAGGGAAGTTTCCAGATGTGCCCAAATGCTAAACGACACAATGATTCGATCCTAAAGCTCCATTTGGATGCACCATATCATAAAATGGTCCAAAGTCAGTATCCCAACCATTTAAATTATCCCCAAGTTTCCTATCCAAATTTACAGAACCACTCACAAATCAAAATTTAAAAAGATTGTGAATTCAGAACTTTAAATTCAGATCTTGTCGGACACTGGATGTGTGTCCTGTCATGTGCAGGATGTAGAAGATAGAATGTTATTTCTGGTCTCTTTTCAAACCTGAATGAACAAAACATAAAAAAATCCAAACACTTATACAGTATTACTCATCCCATTTATAAGTTATATTATGATCACAGCCACACGCACAAATATATGCACTGCACCGCTTAAGATAGCATCCGTGTGAAGAAAATGCTGAACGAAACAATTAATTCAACTTCTAATTCTCTGTTCTTGCATCAACCTAATAGCAGAATTAACCAAATGAACTGATGGTATTTGGAAACGCCTATAAATGCATAATCATATGCACGATGGAGAGTCAACGAAGGAATCTTTGTCCAATGTTAACTCTTCAAATGTTCAGTTACCTTCAGCATCATCCTCATCTTTCTCATCGTCTTCTTCATCATCGTCGTCATCGTCCTCCTCTTCAATTACAGGTTCATCAGACTGCAATATCATTAGCAGAAAGTTGGTACAAAATTATGAAAATATACTTTTACGGTGGAAAATACAGCAGTTCTCATTTTTATCTCGAGGAATCGACATAAAATATCTACAACCGACTGTTGCAGAATCGGAAATGTAAAACCCTCAACCACATATTTCATTTCTTGATTGATGATACTACTCACATCATTGATACAATTCAAACACATGATTCTAAAATGCCAACTTTCAAATTAAATGCCCTCGAAAACGGTTTCAAAAAACCAAAACAAATCTTCTCCAAGACTAAACCCGAATATGACTTGAAACAGAGTAAATAATTTGAAGTACTGGAATTTCGAAATAACAAAACATTGGAATCGAAGAACCAAATGGTCCAAGTCACAAAATGATTGAAGATAAGAAAATCCGTCATTACAGATATGATTTTAAACTACCACAAGTCACTGTGACAAATCTTAAACTGAGTTCCTTGTGACAAATATTTCAGTTCTAGCAAGGAAAAGTCATGAAATAGAGAGAAATTACATTAATCTTTTGCTCCTCTAGCTGAGCGGCGAGAAGCTCTTCCTGGGTCTGAGCAGTCATGGCGTTAGAAATGAGTTGAAAACCACAGAAAGCTTTTGACGACAGAAGAAACCCTAAATCTCAAACTGGCTCCACATATTTATAGGAGCTAATTCGGGTCCGGGTCCGGGTCCGGGTTCGATTAAGGATTTTGGTATTAAGTAATAAATTAAATCAATAATTATTAGCTTTAAATTTTGTATTATTTAATAAATTCTTCTATTTTTAATTTTATTTCACTTTTAAAAAAATTTATGAATAAAAAATTTAAGATATATTAGACATAAAAATTATTTTATAATTAATTAACCAATTATTCTTTACACTACTAAATATATTAGGGGCTTTTTAGACTTTTAAAAAAAATTCATATATTTATTAGAAAATATTAAAATTAAAAAATCTATCCGATCCTATTTAAAGTTCAAGCGCCGTATTAACACTACAATAAAAGTATATAAACTAAATTTATAATATAAAAATATCTAAAGTCTTTATTAATATTTCATCTATAAATTTCATATATTTTACCGAATTGGATAAAAAAATTAATTTCATACTAACAATAAATACTCATTTTAAGACTTATCAAAAGTATGATGACAAAAGTGCGAAGTAAGCTTGACATATTCAAGGGTTTACTGTACCTCCAGACGTTCGATTACGGGCAACTAGTCCAACTATGATAGGTCTAGAGGGTGTGCGAGCTGCCTGGTGGGCTTAGGGCTCACACTCACACTCACACGTGTGACTCGTGTAGGAAAGTACTACACATCCAATTTATCTGGAATGGAGGCGAGGTCCCTAATCATTATCGCATGTGTTTGCATTCCCCAATCCTAATAGTGAGGTCAGTTACTGATTATTTCTGAAAGTACTACACATCCAATTTATCTGGAATGGAGGCGAGGTCCCTAATCATTATCGCATGTGTTTGCATTCCCCAATCCTAATAGTGAGGTCAGTTACTGATTATTTCTTAAAATACTCAAGTCATGTATTACTTTCATATTTTAACCTCGTCAACAAGAGCTACAAGTCTAAACTGAATTTGACCTATTTATTCTTGTCGTCATTTTTCGTTACTACTTTGAGGTCAATAAGCCTTTGTCATCTCTTGACAACTTAGTCTTCAATGAAGTTCTCGTAAAGGTACAAGCATCTCCACAATGGTATGATATTATCCACTTTGAGCATAAGCTCTCATGGCTTTGCTTTGGGCTTCCCAAAATGTCTCATACCAATGGAGTTAGTATTCCTCACTTATAAACCCATGATCAGTCTCTAAATTAACCGATGTGGGACTTTCATCATCCAACATTAAACATTATGCTGTAAAATGTTCAGGACTTCGTGCATCATTGTATGTTTCATACATCAATAAATTTCTCGTACGGACGCATAGATTACAACAAGAAAAATAATTACTATCTTTATCATAATACTACAACGGTCACTATTCTTACTGGATGTCCAACAAGAGCACCAGAGAAAGCTACAACGGTCACTATTCTTACTGGGTGTCCAACAAGAGCACCAGAGAATGCTAGGCCGATGTTATGTTCTAGAATAATTACTATTATCCTTTCGTGTTTTAAGTAAAATGATCCTATTATCCAATGTGAAGAACCCCATGAAAGAAATAGTACATAGTTGAACTCATAATCAATCCAGAGTTTATAAAACATTAAAATCTCAGAACTTCAAATTCTGCAGCTGAAACAGAGGGGGGAAAAGAAGGAAGAAAAGATTCCAACACTCCACCTGATAGAGCTCTCTTATTAATTTGTAAGTTCCATAATGGCAGACACGATATCACCATCCGCTGCTTTGAGTGCTTTCACGGCCCTTGGTCTCGATACCCCAGCTTGAGTCATCACCAGTTCGATGTCCTTCGGTTCAACCCCGGACTCATCGACTACTTCGTCATCTTGAGCAATGGTTGGTGCCTCAGGCTTTGATGTCAAATTACTCAAATTAGGAGCCTTGAACTGCTCTGCAGCCTGGGTCTGTAGCTGGGAGCTCAAATCTTCAATCTTTGCTTCCCCAAAAATGACGTAGGTATCGGAAGTCGGGCTCTTGAAGACATCTGGTTTCGAAATGACAAAAAGAATCTGCAATGAAAATGACATCGATATTAGACGTATCTGGGACTGAATCGATTTAGAAAATCGAACTTCAGATGTCGAGAAAACCAACATTCTTGCTCTTCTTGACCGTGACACGGCTCACACTCGGGATTGGCTTCATTCCAAGTTTCAGCATTGCTTTGCGACTCTTTTTTTCGCTTCTGCTTTGCTTCGACCTGCCACTGGCCTCTCCGTGCCCTGCCACAAGAAACTCTATTCTCACAACAGATACTAACCAAGTAATGCATGTGCAACACACGGACACAAGACAGAGAGAGATCAAGGCAACATTCCAAACTAAATGGAAAGAAACATAAATTATCTGCATTCACTAGATAAAATTACTGATCAAGTCTCTGTTAATCAAAACTTAAACTCGTTTATATGCCCTGCACCACTGCACATGAACAATGAATAAGAAAATAACATAAAGAATTCCACAAATTCAATCATATTTAGCTTTAGAAAGCAACCGAGTGGAGAAAATGCTGAAGAAAACAATAACTCAACTCCCAAGGCTCCTTCTTGTATTCACCTTATATCAGAATCAACCAAATGAATTGATGAGATTTGGAAAAGGCTATAATGCGTAATCATATGCACAATACAGGAAAAAGTAAGGAACTTAAGAGTTAAATAAAGAAATTTATGAGGAAATCCATGTACAAGGTTACTTGTTCAATATTCACCTACCTTCAGCATCATCCTCGTCCTTGTCATCATCTTCTTCATCATCTTCGTCGTCATCGTCCTCAATTACAGGTTCATCAGACTGCAATATCATTAGCAGAACATTGATTAAAAAATTATGAAAATATACTTGTAAGTCTTACGGTGGAAAATACCAAGTAGTTAGCATTTTGTTATCTTGGAAAATGAACAACTGAATGATGATACATTGGATGACCAAGGTCCCACATTGGTTAATTTAGGAATGATCATAGGTTTATAATGAAGGAATACTCTCTCCATTTGTATGAGGCCTTTGGGGGAAGCCCAAAGCAAAGCCACGAGACTTTATGCTCAAAGTGGACAATATCATACCATTGTGGAGAGTTGTGTTCTTCTAACACATACATCATTAATACAATACAATCACGTGATTCTAAAATGCAGATATTCCAATTAAATGCACCCCAAACGCTTTCAATAAAACTGATTTAGCAACAACAAAAAAAAAAAAAAAAAAAAAAAAA